TGAAATAGATGTTTAATTCGAAATTGTAATCTATGTAAATTTAATCGTATATAGTTTAGTTAATATGTCACATAAATATATTTTAATCATTTTAGATCAGAACTTTCATTAATTCAATGATTACGCGCGCATTTTATTCAAATTTGTTAATGCTGTGAATACCTATATGTACACTATTACTTTTACATAAATAATTTTAAACAGTATTGAAGCCACTGGGAAATGGTTGCACCGGTATTCTTGTAAGTTTTTTTTGATAACTACATATATACGTTGTTATTACCTTCATACAAAGTAACACTTTTTTTTTTTTTTTGGAGTGACCATATATGCTGTTCCAAGATATTCTGCTGTGTTATTGAGAAAATTCTTATTCTAATTATTATACATGTTTAAATAAACCCCTTAAAAATAGGTATGTGAATAACCATGGCTGCAGAGATCATCATTCAATGAAAACAAATTGAAAACTTCTAATATTAATATAGAAGTCAAGGTTCTTTTTGTTTTTTTTTTTGGTTTTTGTTTTGCAATAACATATTTACATGACAATAAATAAAACTAAGATTATTCATCCATTTTCTTCACTTGCGTTTATAAGTTATATAAAAATCGATACAGATTGAAAATTACGTAACACCCATGTTGTAGGTGTTTACTGTTAATTTCAACTATGATACTTACATTAAATAATATTGTAATTTATCATTTTTTTTTTTTATTTATATAATATGTATATAAATATATAAAATGATATATGCATTACAAAACAACCTGTTGCATAATTCAATAAATAGCTCTGATTCTGTACGTTATAGTTTTAATCAGATATACTTACATACAAATAAATAATACATAAATAAGTATTAACTTTAGGATTATTATATTTAAACAGAAAAAAAAGAAAAAGAAATTTTTTTTTTATGAATTAATATTAATTTTCATATGTATTTCATAGTTTCGTTGCTGGAGTTATACTACGTGAACGCATTCCTGCATTTGAACGCATGCTATGGCGTGCATGTCGTGGAAATGTATTTTTACGTCAAGCTGAAATTGAAACACCCTTAGAGGATCCTTCAACGGTATGTAATTATAAAAATATATAGACAAATTTTATATTGGATATTAGTAAAACTTATTGTTCTTGTAATTTTTTTTTTAGGGTGACCAAGTCTTTAAATCAGTATTTATTATCTTCTTCCAAGGTGATCAATTAAAGACGCGAGTTAAAAAAATATGCGAAGGTTTCAGGGCAACTTTATATCCCTGTCCTGAAGCACCAGCTGATCGAAGGGAAATGGCTATGGGAGTGATGACACGTATTGAAGATTTAAACACGGTAAATATTTATAATTCAAAAATATGTTTAAAAAAATTGAACATATATATATATATAATAAAGAATAGTGTGTTTAAGTAAAATAATAATATATGCATTGTTTTTTAATTTTTAATTGTGACTTGTTCATATTTCTAAAAAATAAGAAAATGTTTATAGGTTCTTGGTCAAACTCAAGATCATCGTCACCGTGTTTTAGTAGCTGCAGCAAAAAATATCAAAAATTGGTTTGTTAAAGTACGAAAAATAAAGGCAATTTATCATACATTAAATTTATTCAATTTAGATGTCACTCAAAAATGTTTGATAGCTGAATGTTGGGTGCCTGTATTAGATATTGAAACGATTCAGCTTGCCTTACGTCGTGGAACGGTAATATCACTTTTTTTTTTTTAATTATTTTTACTACTATCTAAATGTGTGTATCATTAGTTATCTCATTTATATAAATATATTTTATAGGAACGTAGTGGTAGTTCTGTACCTCCTATTTTAAATCGTATGGAAACATTTGAAGATCCACCAACTTACAATCGTACGAATAAATTTACTAAGGGTTTTCAAGCTTTGATCGATGCGTATGGAGTTGCATCTTACAGAGAAATGAATCCTGCACCATATACTATAATTACTTTTCCATTTTTGTTCGCTGTCATGTTTGGTGATCTTGGACATGGATTAATTATGTTCTTATTTGGTGGATGGATGGTTTTAAAAGAAAAACCATTGGCGGCAAAAAAATCAGACAATGAAATATGGAATATCTTTTTTGGTGGCAGATATATTATATTTTTAATGGGATTATTTTCAATGTATACAGGATTGATATATAACGATGTATTTTCTAAATCTTTAAATATTTTTGGATCACATTGGAATATCACTTATAATTTCGAAACTATTCATTCGAATAGAGCACTCCAATTAAATCCAAATACAACGGATTACAGACAAAATCCTTATCCATTTGGTTTGGATCCTGTATGGCAATTAGCAGAAAATAAAATTATATTTTTAAATTCGTATAAAATGAAGATTTCAATAATCTTTGGTGTATTGCATATGTTGTTTGGCGTTGTCGTTGGATTATGGAATCATATGTATTTCAAAAAGAAGATAAATATCACTTGTGAATTTATTCCTCAGATTATATTTTTAGTAGTACTTTTCTTATACATGGTCGTACTTATGTTTATTAAATGGATAAAATATCATGCAACCTTAACATCAGGTAATATCATGAAATTTTTCATTTTTTTTTTTGATCAAATGATTTTTGACAAACATTGATCAAATGTTTTTTTTTTTTAAATTAATTTTTACAGAAATTCGTCCTAGTCCTTACTGTGCACCATCAGTATTAATAACATTTATCAACATGGTACTTTTCAATAAACCTGTACATGTGAATGGTTGTGACAAATGGATGTATGGTGGTCAAGATGGATTCCAAAAATTCTTAGTTGTCGTAGCTATCCTTTGTATCCCATGGATGTTATTAGCCAAGCCAATTACATTAATGCGTAATGCAAAGAAACAACATTATCAAGTATGTACACGTAATAATTAATTATAATACAATGTTACATTTGAAGTATCTTATATACGTTTATATTACTAATTTATTTGTTATATTTAATGCAGTTAAACAATCATGGTGCTGAAAATGGTGATGTAGATGGTAATGTTGGTGCAATGCAACCAACAGGAGGTGTTGTCCAAGGTGGTCATAAAGAAGAACAAGAAGATATGGCTGAAGTTTTCATACATCAAGGCATTCATACTATCGAATATGTACTTGGTAGTGTTTCACATACTGCATCATATTTACGTTTGTGGGCTTTATCTCTTGCTCATGCTCGTAAGTTTAAATACAAATAACATTTATTTCTTGTTTTTTATTTGTTTTAAAATATCTTTGCACATATCCGTACAAACATATACATTTTTAATAGAACTCTCAGAAGTATTATGGGCTATGGTAATGAGAAATGGATTGACTCGTGAAGGTTGGACTGGTGGTATTTTCCTTTGCATAGTATTCGCATTTTGGGCTGTTTTAACTGTTGGTATTTTAGTCCTAATGGAAGGACTTTCAGCTTTCTTACATACTCTTCGTCTTCATTGGTAAGAAAGTATAATGTTGGAACAACATAAATATAACAATTTTGTAATAATAATAAAGTGTAATGTTTATATTTATAGAAACTAATATTGTGCATTACTTATTTCTAATATAGGGTGGAGTTCCAGAGCAAGTTTTACGCTGGTTTGGGTTATAGTTTTCAACCATTTTCGTTCGAAATTATTTTAGATGCTGCTCAATCGACTACCGAGGATTAAGAGCATTAATGAAAACAATTAAACCGTTATAAATGACATAGACACACACAAAAATTATGATATATATATATATATATATATATATATATATATATATATATATATATATCATCAGGTTAACAAATATATAAAACGAAATTGTAATGTAATCATTGTTTCAAATAATTATAATAACTTTTAAATGTTATAATTGAAGGTGTATCTGATTAATCCGTGTTTTTGCAAAAAAAAAAAAATGTAATTATAGTATTGAGTAAAAAAAAGAAACGAAAAAGTTTACTTAATTAACTAATATATTTCTTATCATAGATGTAATTAAATTGCACGGAATCAATAAAAAAAAATGCAAATATATTAATACTTTATAAATACTTTCTATGTATATATATATATGTATATGTTATATGAGATGTTCATAAACGAAAGCGAATAACTTAATAGCATTAAATAACAACAATTAGTATATTCATTAAATAATTAAATGATATGAAAATATATATACATAATTTTATCAATTTTCTGGACTTTTTGTTTTATAAAGTTAATTGGTTTACCAATTAAGTGGCTCACATATATATATATATATATTTAAATAAAAAATTAATTAAACAAATTCACAGTAAGAAAAAACATGTAATCGATACATCTTTTGTTATAATGCAATATAATACAATGTATTAAACTTATAGCAAAACATGTTCTTGTCATGTTTTTAGCTTTCAAAACAGTGTATGCTATGAACTATAAAAAATAGATTACAAAATACATATTTCATAGTATATATCTTTAATATTTCATCTCCCATTGAATACCAACATTATACTTCAAATGCGAGCACAAAAAAATCTTTTTTTTTTTTTTAATATATATATTAATAATTATATTACACATATAATTTATTAATTTTTTGTTTGTTAATATGAACACTTAAATTAGAAAATATTGAAGAAATTTAACAAGAAAATAAAAGTTAGAAAAAGATTATTTATATATTGATCGGACAATTATCATAAATTGTGATAATTGTGGGGAGGAAGGGAGGAGAGAGAGAGAGAGAGAGAGAGAGAGAGAGGGAGAGAAAATAAAAAGAAAAGAAAAAATCCATCTCTATGGAGACAAGCGCATGCGCGATTGACGTTATCTGGCGGGTAGTAGTATACATAGTGCGATTTCACTTTCTTGTTCAGAATCGGCGGAGCTTAGTAACGTCAAGGGTCTTATTGTCCATTTAATTATTTTTTCTTTGCGAAAAAAAAAGAAAAACTCTTACGAAAAAGAAATAATTAAGTTGGTTTTTGTTGTTGTTGTTGATTAATTTAAATCTCGTGTCTCGTCGTCGTTGTTAATTGTTGTTATTGTTATTATTGTTGTTGTGTTGTTATTATTGTCACAGAATTTCCTTTATTCATTAGTATCTTGTTAATTTCAAGTTACGATATACAAAATGGAGAAGAAACGCATCTGCATCATTGGTTCTGGAAATTGGTAAATATGTGGTATAATAGAAAAGTATTAGAAAAAAAAGAGAGACATATATATACACACATATATTTTAACACTTATCGAACAGGAAAAAAAAGGGATGAAGATAGAAGAAGATAGAAAGAGATAAAAAAAAAAAAAACAACGATTCATCGATATTCGCATGCGTTGTTGTTGATGGTCGAAGGTTACTTTGACTTTTCAATAAGATTCAATTTAGCTGCTAATTTCTTGAATAGTATCCAAGCAAATAGAATAAGTAGATTCTTTGTCAAATGTAAGAATATCCCTTTTATCATTTTTAACGAGCGAGGGTCGTCCCGTTAACCTTCGAATTTGAGCGGCTAAAATTGATGTGGGAACAAACTATAGTTATTTTTCTCTTTCTCTCTCTTTCTTTTTTTTCTATGATATGATATTATCATATTATATGATAAAAAAAAATAATGATAATAAAACAAGTTATGCAATGAAATATTTAAACAATTTTTTCAATAATATTAGTATATTATTATTATTATTATTATATTAATAATATTGCATAAATATATAAAATTGTAGTAAATTGTGAGAGAGAGAGAGAGAGAGAAAAAAATTTATCATAAAATTTGTCCTTGACTATTATAGTCGTAACTAGACGAAACTAATGTCTCATAAATATTCTTACATAGGACAGATTCAATTGCCACATCTGTTGTTTTTCAAAGAAGAAAAAGAAGAAGAAGAAGAAGAAAATAAATGTTAAAACAAATAAATAACGTTTTTAGATAACACTTAATAAGTGTAAATCAAAATAATTGTTGATTTTCAATCTAATTAATATCACACATATGACGAAATAATGAAATTTTTCTCTATACTTCATTAACATATATATTTACATAAACATATTTCTGTGTGTGTGTGTGTGTGTGTGTGTGATATATTAAAGATGAATATAATTCACAAAGTCTCTTTATTATTATGTAACGTTTTATTTGCATATGCGTAAGAAAGAAAAAAAAAAACATACATTTTTTATATTACCTGAAAAAAAAAAAACAACAAATGTATGTGAAAATATTGGTTGATGGTAACTGACAAAATATGAAGCAGATATTTTATTCGCGTTTAAGATTACGTTATAAACTTATCAATAATCGATATCATATAATGGATAAGAGAAACTGAAGTTTTAGATACTTGAAATTTAGTAAAATTATTTATCTTATATTTAAACAAACATGTCAGCTATCTAAAATTAGTAGGATTAGTGTTATGAAATATCACAGAACAAATAAAAGATATTATCTAAGATGTGTAATGACAAAAATTCAAAAGGTACTTTTTTTTTCTTTTTTTTTTTTTTTAATAATAATTTTTTATAATATAATTTTTTTGTCATTATAATTTGTAAAGCAGAAATTGATATATTTTTTGTTGTTCTTTTTACAACAGGGGATCGGCCATTGCTAAGATTGTTGGCGCCAATGCCAAAACGCAAGATAAATTTGAAAACCGCGTTACTATGTACGTCTACGAGGAATTAATAAATGGAAAAAAACTGACTGAAATAATCAATGAAACACACGAGAATGTTAAATACCTTCCTGGCCATCGAATTCCGGAAAATGTCGTAAGTATTTGTTTTAATAATAATTAGTATTATTTTTTTTTTTTTTTATTTAAATCTTTGTTTTTTTCCTGAAGTATCTTAAAACGGATAATTACAAAAAAAAAAAAAAAAAAAAAACAAACGTTCATATGAGTAAATTGTAACTCTATAAATAACGGATTTGTATATATAAATAATACATTATTTATACGGCTATCTTACTTTTTATTATTATTATTATTATTTTTTTTTTTAATAGCTTTCTTATTCTATATTCAAACAATATTCGAACTTCGAACCTTGATCCTTAACATGAGCACGCAAAACAAATCAAATTCCAATCAGATTAATAATGTTTTAATACATTCGTAAAAATATGAACAAAGTTAATAATAATATTAAGCTTAAATGATAAATATTTTAATACGAGAAGTGGCTCACATTTGAAATTTTATGTATATATATAATAAACCATTTTTAAAATTACGTAAAACATGTTTTTTTATTTACAGTTGGAATATGAAAACTACTTTACCGATAAAACTAAAGTCAAATACGTTTAGATTGCTCTTTATCGACGAAAAGTTAGAATTATCTTTAAAAATTGTTTAAAATTGAAAAATATATATATATATATATATATATTTTTTTTTGTATCGACAGAAGATCACTTTCTACTTATATCTATTATTCGGATTATGTTTATAATTTTACGATGATAAACGATTAAGTTGTTTTATTTTTTTTTTTTTATTGATCACAGTTATTAATATTATTCTTTTTATATTTATCTTACAACTATAAATGATATCATTAAGATTACAATCAAGGTTATAGTATTTTCTGTAAATCATTGATATAATAGATTTAAATTTGTTACTTTGGAAAAGAAGATATTTTAACACTTATTATATTGAATATTTATAAGATAATAATTGAAACATATATTAAATGTTAGATTGCAGTTCCTGATGTTGTCGAGGCTGCAAAGGATGCTGATATTCTTATTTTTGTGGTGCCACATCAATTTATTCCAAGAATATGTAGCACACTTCTTGGAAATATTAAACCTACAGCCATTGGTCTTTCCCTAGTAAAAGTATGTTATGATAAATATATGTTGTAATAACATTTTATATATATATGTGTATTTAACTAAATTATATTTCAAATTATTTTCTACAGGGTTTTGACAAAAAAGAAGGCGGAGGTATAGAATTAATCTCACATATTATTTCTAAAGAATTACACATTCCTGTGTCTGTATTAATGGGAGCAAATTTAGCATCTGAGGTAGCAGAAGAAATGTTTTGCGAAACCACCATAGGTAAATAGTAATGTGAGTTACATCTAAAATAAAGTATGTAACTATACGCATAATTATAAATAATTACTTGTATTTCAAATTAATATTTAATTACTTTTATATTAATGTGCACATTATCACAGTGATAAATTTAATAATATTAGGTAAGAGAGTAAAATGAAAAATATTAATATTATGAATGTTTATAGGATGTAAGGACAAAGAAATGGCTCCAATTCTTCGAGATTTAATTCAAACGTCGTATTTTAGAGTTGTTGTAGTAGAAGATGTTGATTCAGTCGAATGCTGTGGTGCATTGAAGGTAATTTATAAAATATTTTGTCATATTTACAAATTAATGTTTATATTACTTATTATTATTATCATTTGGATACATTTATAGAACATTGTCGCTTGCGGTGCTGGTTTTGTCGATGGATTAGGTTTAGGTGATAATACAAAAGCTGCTGTTATTCGTCTGGGATTAAAGGAAATGATTAAATTTGTTGATGTCTTTTATCCCGGTGGAAAATTGTCGACATTCCTTGAAAGTTGCGGCGTAGCTGATCTTATTACAACATGTTATGGTGGAAGAAATCGTAAGGTGTCAGAAGCTTTTGTAAAAACTGGAAAGGTTTGTGACATTATAATTATCATTCAGATGAAGTCTTGATAGACTAGAAAACAAATTTTATATATATATATATATATATATATATATATTTATTTCAGACTATTGAGGAATTAGAGAAGGAAATGCTTAATGGACAAAAATTGCAAGGACCATTTACTGCGGAAGAAGTTAATTATATGTTAAAATCTAAAAATATGGAAAATAAATTTCCTCTCTTCACTGCAGTCCATCATATTTGCATCGGTCAGTTAAAAGCTGCTGATCTGATCGATTGTATACGCAATCATCCGGAACACATGTAAGCGTTCAATAGTCACAATTAAAGTTAGAGGTGGATTAGATTGAAATACAATGATAGTCGTTCAATAAGTTTAGACTTGGGCATGCAATGTTAATTCTTACATTCATTTTATTTAGTATGTTGATTTTGTATTTCTATCAAAAGTAATATTAACATTTAAACAATATGGAGACGCCAATAGTTAATAATTATCTTAATATTTGTGCTTTTCTTGAAATTACTAGTATATATGTATTTATATACATATAGTAAAATCGTTAAAAAAAAACAACATTTCATTAAATTAAATATTATGTACACTTAATCCGTCTCTAACGTTATAATTATTTTAATTTTCTGCAATCTATTCTCTGACTTTATTAGACTTAACTTACTGGTGAAACGTAAATGAGAGAAGATCTGTTGATAATAAGAACATTTTGGCCAATAGTATGTATAAATCAATTTACACAAATATGTACATATATGTATGTATATATATATATATATGTATATTTAGAAAAATCATAAGTACTCGTTTAACGTACCAAATAAGGAAAGCAGGCCTTTCATTATTTTTTTCTTTATTTGTCGTAACCAACAGAACTTCTCAAAATAATGGTTTCTTATTTTAATGAATCTTCAATAACTAAAACAAGAAATGAAAAAATCTATACGTGTTTAATCGTTTTGTTTAGAAATTTAATTACTTATCAAAGAAAATTTGTTAAGTTTATTTTGTTGTTAAGTTTAATACACATTCTTATTAGAAATTTATCGAATATTTTTCAGTTGTTATTATTCTAATAATTTTAGATTCGTAGATTAGATTAATCTACGATAAAATCTTTAAATTATATTAAAATATTAAACGCACATTTTATGTATATATCAGATTAAATAGTAATAATTTTAAAAATGAAATATATATATATATATATCATTTTTAATTATTTACTATTTAATAATTAAACTAAAATGTTCAAACTTGATACAATCCTTGTTTAATTATATTAGACGAATATTAATTTGTTTATCGATTCCATTAAAAAATTAATTATTATATATTTCTCTTTCATTTTTTTCTTTGTATATTGTAAAGATTTCTTCACATGATACAATGTTACAAAATAATTAAAAGTATACGAAGAATTATGAGTAGAGTTATATAATGACTATATATTTTATTAAGATGTTTATTTCAAATGTGTTATAAGTGCATAATACTTTGCAAAGAAAAAAAAAAAACCAAATTGCAACGTGTGCAAAAAATTGGACGAAGACAAAATGGATATGTACATTAATTCGTGTCAGTTTTCCTGGCTCGTTACCATATCATATAGTGTCAAGACAAAATTTTATTGTATAGGCATATTACCATGTTATTATAAAAAAAAAAAGAAAGTTATAAGAATATAATTGTACCTAAAAAGAGAACATATACGAATGTTAATTGTTAATACGTTAAAAAATAACAAAATAACAAAAAAAAAAAAAAACACACATTGTGTAGTTTGAAACTGTGTTGAGTTTTTTTTTCTTCCCATATTTTGCTAACTTTGTTCACATAGAGAGAAAAGATTTCGTTCATCAATAAAATATAAATCTCATATTGTTCTCATTTAATAATGTCCCAATAAGACCTGAATATTAGTTAGTATATGTATCATCCACACTGTTAATATATCTAGTGTGTTTCAATTAAGTTAAATATTTCAATTATTTTCGTTGCTATTGAAAGTAAAAAAAAAAAAAAGAAAATAATTAATTGTAAAATGAGTTTATATAATGTCAGGGCGCGCGCGCATCTTGGCAATAATAAAATAATAATTCCTTCTCAAGTCATTTTGATTACTATTTTTTTGTTTTTTTTACTTATATTTATTACAATGTAAAGTTGTAATTTTGATCAACTTCAAATGCAGCGAATTATTTTTAACTCGAAAAAAAAAAAAAAATAAAGAATAATAAATTCATTTTATTCCATTGTGTCCAAATTCTGATTCGTATTAATATATATTTATACAGATGATAAATAAAAATGAACATATACAATTAATGATATTTCTTACAGTATTTTTCATGATAATTTTTTTTTTTTTTTACCGATAACAGACAGAAATTTCTAATTTATTTCTATTCACTATTGATATATAGGAACGGTAATGACGATGATTGTGGTGTCTACGCTAAGATGGGACAATTAAAGTCACCAAGGAGTCACCTCTAACGAACTTACTGGAAATAAGGAATTGGAAGATTTTTTTTTTTATTTTTTCACAAAAATATTAAATACAAATTTGGAAGTTACTTTTAAGTTAACAAAAAATATAATTAAGTGCATTATTTTTAAACGATTTTAAATTTTATTATCAGTTGTTTCGACGTCGTTGTGTATAATTTATAATAAATTTCCTTTTTTTTTTTTTTTTTCACTTTTATACTTTTTTATATATTGCTCTTTTTCTATATATAATAAAATTTTGTAAAAGTATTATATATATATATATATGTGTAAGAATTTTTATAATAATAATAATAATAATAAATACGGGCCGATGTTTTCATCTCCTAATTCTATAATAATTCATAGACCCATTGTAATTTATAATTATTAGAGAATATCGTAATTATTAAAGATAATACAGTATAAAAGAAAAAATAATTAAAAGAGAAAATTAAAATTATGATTATTACAGTGAATGTTTAAAAAAAAGAAAAATCATTTTATAATAGAACTTTTTTTTTACAAATATAACAACAACAAAAATTAATAAAATATGAAATCAAAATTTGAAAAATTAAAACAAATAATAAATATATGAACATAATATATTTATTAATAAAGAAAAATGATTAGAGTTACGTTACTTAAAATAGAAGCCTTGAATATTGATAAACAAAAATAAAATCAAATTGTGTAATCGATGATAGCTCGAGGATGGTATAGCAATCGATGAAGTCAAAGATATCGGTAGAACTATCCTTCTCTATCGAATTTTTACATGTCATCGAGATCTATTATCAAGGCAGGTAGATCTAATTTTATTACTCCCTTACATTGAGAGTTATTCGATTTCGATCGTACTTGGCTATGATTCTAAGCATGCGCGTTAGAATTAGAAAGAAAATAATTGGCCATCTCATCGTTAAGGTCAACAAAAGATCGAGACGAGTTCGCACGAAGTCAATCGGTCAATCAATTAGTCAACCGATCGATCAGTCAGTTGGTTAGCCATCCATCTTCGCGTTTTATCGATTGCTCATCTTTTTTTTTTTTTGGTTGTTGTTTTTGTCTATCTCGTTATGACAAACGGACAAAAATAACGGGACTGACGGTTGTTAATAAATTATTCCTTTTTTTTATTATTTTTTTTTTTTTCTTCAGATAAAAAGAAGAGAAAACAAATTTTTTTTTTGTTGAAAAAGAGTTATTTAATCATTTGTTAGAGAGAGACCATGTCGGAGAAATTGAGTGTGTGCATCGTAGGAAGTGGCAATTGGTACGTTAAAGCCAATTGGCTATTGTGGCAACGACTGTGATGACCCTGACTTTCTTTCCTTTCAAATCTTTATCCTTTTTCTTATTTTTTAAGTGTAATATTTTCTCTCTCTCTCTCTCTCTCTCTCTCTTTCTTATTTATCACACAAATAGAAAATTATACTAATTGAATCGTTTGATTACATTGGTTTTTTTTCTTTTTTTTTTATTCTTATCACTCTTTAGAAATAATATTGTAATAATGTTTTAACAAATAAATATAGTTTATCTAGATTAATGATTCTCAATGTTGAATAAATAGTTACAAATTTGAAAGTACCTTGTAAAAACGTTAATAAATTACATATACAATTTACTGTATATATATAACAAAAATGTTTCCCAAATATTTGGACATAATTTCAGAGGTAGGGTGATTTTGAACGTGAATATGAATTTATTTGTCATGCAGGAATAAGTATTTTTGATATTTAAAACCAGCTAGCTGTAATGACTTTAAAAAAAAAAAAAAAAATATGAAGTAATAATACAAAATATTATTATTTCTTCATGACGAGTATACTCGTCGATTACAGTTAATTGGTTAACAAAAAATTATGAACCGTTATTCAAAATGATTGGTAAAAAAAAGTAAGGTTTATAATTGTTTAATTTGATAAATGATAATAACTATTGGAGATATCCTATAAATTCCCATAGTTTATGGGAAGTATAAAAGATTGAGAATCACTGATCTAGATAAAGTTTAACTGTTTGAAGGACGCATTGAATGATACGACGTATCGTTTCAACGCACGGATATATCACGTACCACTTGTTTTTTGATGGACATTACTACACATCTACATCTACATATATATATATATATATATAAGTATTTGTGTATACGTACGTACATATATATTAACGTCAAGAAGACGGACATTACGTACATCTCTTGGCACTGAATTGTCGTTCCTCAAAGTATTCGAAAGTGGAACAGAATTTCCATTAATAATACGTATCTACCTGTCGTGTGATCTCCTTTTGTACAAAATAAAATAAATAAAGAGAGAGAGAATTTGTTTTACGAGTAGAAATTACATGCCTTGTGAAATTTGGCCTTACAAATATTTTTTAATCTTTCATGTTCGTTGCTATATATTTCTTTATTTTTTTTTTTTTTTGCATTATCCACTTTTGCAAGAGTAGACTTTTCCTTCTTTGGTAATAGTTATTTTAATCTCAACCAATAAATTATCTCATCTAATTAGCATCGTTGTTAATGTCATTTCCTTAATTCCAGGTTTATTCCATCCATTATTACTTGATCGTCAAGTCAATCTTATTTTCTTGATGATACTTTTTTAATTATCGATGCATTGTACTTTGTATTTGAATTGTTTACACTGTCTGTCTGTATCTTAGTATTTCACAATTCTATCGTATGTAATTATTTGTTTATCAGTCATTAAAATGTGCCTCGTTTAACATTGTACAATAGACGTATATTTCATTATTTATTCTCATGATGCAAATACTACATTTAAATAAAATTAATATTCTGTTATGCACAATGTTTTTATAAGATGGACAAAATTATTCAAACGACGAAGATAATTATATAATCGATGAATTTAAATTTAGCGATAGGATTATCATAGACATCCTTATTACTCGATTCTAATCCAATCACATAATTTTTGTTATTTGAATATGGTAATACTTATATCGTATCGTTGTATTATTGAATATACTTATACGATAATGTAAACGATACACATTGGATAATATCTCATATATAAATCAAATATTAATAATAATAAAGGACTTTGAATAAATAGAAGAAGAAGAAGAAGAAGAAAAAAAAGTAAAAGATTAAGAAAAATTGTACTAATATAATTTTGTATTTTCAGGGGCTCGGCAATAGCAAAGATCATTGGTGCAAATGTCGTCAAGTTTAATAATAAATTTGCCGAACGTGTACCCATGTACGTTTATGAAGAAATAATAAATAATCAAAAATTGACAAATATAATTAACGAGTTACACGAAAATATAAAATATCTGCCAGGACATAAACTTCCAGAGAATGTGGTAAGTATTTTTAATAGAATAAAAACCAAAAATTTATTTCGCAAAATATCTGTTGTCAAGTCAATTACAGAGAACAAACAAATTGTTTATTTTATATATATATATATATAATGATAAATTTAATTAAAAAGATTATTTATACATACTTCAACACGATAATCTTATTTTCATAAAATCACGGGAGAAATAATAAGATAGAATCATCTTGTACATTAATTTAATTTTTAAATTTGTAAACAAAAGAATGGCACGTATATAATCATTATTATATATATATTATCATTTTAATATTTTAATAATCTGTAGTTGTACGAACGTAAACTTTGCCTGACGGCATGGAAACCTTGTCGACTCCTTTCGGGAATAGTTTAGGTAAATCTTCATCTTTTACGGTAGGAAGGATCATGACTTTTTCACCAGGCTAAAATGAGATTGTTTATTAACAAAAGTTTTCTTAATTAATTCCTTACCTAACATTATAATAAATAAATAAATAAATAAATAAGAAAATAAAGGAAATTAAACTCACGGTCCAATTGGCTGGCGTTGCAACTTCTGGTTTTTTATCGACCAATTGTAGAGAGTCAATCACACGTAATATTTCACTGAATAACAAAATGTTTAATTAGAGTGTAGAATTAAGAAGAAGAAGATTTTGTTTTTGTAATTATCGATCATAATCATTAACTCAAATGTAAACTTACTCGACATTACGTCCAGTAGAAGTTGGATAATGCATTGACAAACGTAATCGGTGATCAGGACTTATTATATAAAGTGCACGAACAGTTTGAGCAGTGTCCGGATCATCTTTACTGTCCTCGTCTATCATATCGAGTTGTACTGCTAAAGTTCTATCTGCATCAGCGATTATCGGATACGGGAATGCTCCGGGAATATCGCGACAATAAGATTTGATATCCTTGTTTACAAAAAAAAAAAAAAAAATTAATAATCTTGAAAAATTCAAGTATAAAAATGGCCAATGTGAATTTGATTTTATATTGCGCTTACGTTCACCCAATCGACATGATCTTTAAGCTTGTCTACAGAATGAGCCAAAAGTTTAGCATTACGACGTTCAAAATGTGGCTGATGAACAGCAATACGACCCAATTCGGTCGTACATACTGGTGTAAAATCGGCAGGATGAGAGAAGAGAACTACCCATCTATAGAAGATATTAAAATATTTTATATATTTTATTAATAACTAACTAAATTATATAATATATTTTTAATTATTAGATTTATTGCTATTCTCTCATAATATTATATAATATTATAATTATAATATAGCTTATTAGATAATATATTTATTATACTAATCAAAGTATAATATTTATATCTGGGTAAAGAAAAGTATATTTTTAAAAGTATAGTATAATATTATTAATAGTTAATTATACTATAGATATTATTTACAAGCTAATATATACATATATAATATATAATAATAGTGTCAGTTATTATAAAAATTATCTAAGTCAATGATTCACAATCATTTCGAGGATATATATATATATATATATATATATAGAAATAAGAAATTATAAATTGATAATTGAATACAATGAAAAAGTATTACAATACGATAAAGATCTAACTTGGCACGTTAAAATCAGTGCCAAGGGTAGTTTAGTCATCGATTTTGTAACAGTTTTCTATTTAAGATCACGGCCAATGTTCGCTCGTTCGATCTCATGTGTATCCTTTTATTATGAAAAATATTATTTAACTTTTTAAATCATTCTGTTTTTTTTTTTTGCATTATGATGAACGAAGAAAATTCACAAAGTGTACAAATAAGTTAACCTTTTTTTTTTTTACTTATGTTAGCAACAGTAATACCCAATGTGATTAAGTCTTCATATCGTGTTTTAGATAACCCTACTTAATCTAGGGACAGCTTGTTTTAACGCTAATCATTTTATTTTTTATAATTACTTATCCACAAATAGATAAAATCCTACATCATATTTAATGCAGACCATATGATACAAAATAAAATGGCATATGTTTTAAGGCCATCATTAATATTGTATGTTATCAATTTTCAATTGTTTTTTTATTTCTTTTTCAACAAATGTAGATAAGAAACAAACTTATATATAATTACATAACTTTCATTCTTTTTTTTCTTCTTTTTATTTTATTTTATTGTTTTTTTGTTTTTTTTAATCTTATTTTTGTACTAATCGACACAATTGTCTTATATAATTTTATATACTTTTGAATTGACAATATTAGACGATTATAAAATGATATAAAAATGATTCGAATTTTTATTAATTATTTTTTTATTTTTCTGTGTTGATATTTTAACTATTACGTGCACATAACTTTCCTTTGGATCAATTGATTTTCATGATATTTATAAAATAAATGTGTCACAATTTGATCTATAAAGTAGAATAATTTTTGTTTTATCTTTAGTTCTACATATTTACATTTAGCATACTAATTTTTTAATATGTAGTTCTAATTATTAATACAATATTATTATTTTTATGATATATATAATTCAAAATAAAAACATACAAATATATATAAATTGGTACTACAGCAAAATTCCGCTAATGCACAAACCTACACCTTAAATTGTTGCGACAAATCATAGAATAAAAAACTTAATTTAAGAATCAAAATATTTTCAAAATTCAAAACATTTTATTTCTAAAAAGTAGTCACAATCGGATTTCGGTGGAAAATGGGCCGATATAGAATTTAACATAAATTCAAAACAGTCTCTATTTTCTTTCATCTGATACTATCGCCATTACCCTGACGAAACCCTGACGGTTGTTGTGTGCAAACAACAAAGTTGTTGTATGCGAACAACAAGATTGTTCTTTATTAGCGCATTAGCGTAATTTTTGCTACGGTAGCGTTAATACATAACTACCATAAAATTATGTAAATATAGAAATTTACTTACGAATTGCCTTGCCATTCGTAAAAATCAATTGGACCTTGAGTGGTCTCGGCTTTGAAATTTGGAATAACGGAGTTTAATCTCATGTTGAAGAAATCAAATTTTATCACCGAAGATAAATGTGTACTCTGAAAGACTCTTGAATACAGACTGATGCGATGAGAGAACCAAACCACTATTTAAATTCTCTTATCGTCATCAGCCATATCGGATATGATGCAATACTATCTTCGTACGTGAAAAGTTAGGTGAATTAAATCCTTAGGTGATCGATATACTGATCTAATTGTAAATGAAAACGTAAGAATTATTTTATGGATAAGATATAATGCGGTTGCGGTAATAATAAATATATATATATATATATACATCAATCTATATCATAGCTAAATCATTTTTTTTTTCTATGTTAATTCAAAATAAGAAGAAATAATAAAATATTTTGTATCTTATGAAAGACAAGTGAGAATCGTTACTATTAACGAAATAATAAAATATCAAAATGTCTTTTAATTTTAAAATATTTGTCATCTTTTTAATTCATTTAAAAATTATATCAAAACTATAATTACATATATTTACGAATAATGTAATATATTTGTTACCGTGAAAGACTGAAATTAGACAATGTCAATATTCACATAATCGTTTGGTATATGTACGAAATATTAATGTATAAGTCTATTTATATAGACCGAATATTGTATGTGTTGACATTTCACCATGTAAATTTTGATATTACATGAATCTACCATGATAACTTATACACACCATAAAATAACAGAAAAGAGTTTGCAAGCAGTATTATTGTGCAGATTAAACAATTTTATTTAGTTTAATAGGATGCTTGACGAGTTATACATCTACATATATACGTGCACTGTTTACATATTACAACCTTGGATAAATTTATAGATCAATGCCAAGGTGTTGTTGCATTTATGTCATATAATGCATGTCTATATTAATATTGCGCTAGATATTTATTAGATGTGTGATAAGTGATGACAGAAAAGTAAAAACAAAGTGAAATTGATTGTGAGTAATAATTTGAAAAAATGATTAGAATCATTGATTAAGAAATACAAACATAGACAGATATCAAATTTAGTTCTAATCCAATTGATATCACAAATCTAATTGATATAAAATATTAAAAATAAAATGAAAAATAGATATGGAAGAACGAGAGATAGCAGTAACACTTACTGTTAGACTTTAGAATACGATTATACGAGAACTATTAGGTTTTCCATAAAAATTGGTTTACACAAATATTACTTATTTATTTAGCATCATATCAGTATCAAAAAAGTTGCGTCATATGAATGTATATTTTGCAAATATCATTTTTCATCAAATATTCGTGAAATGTGTATTAATATTTATTATATATTTGGATATATTTAATTTATTACATTCAATCCGTCCCCCCACTCCTCTCACTGTCCTAGGTAATTACAGTTCCCCTCAGTTTCCCCTACTCTTGAATTATTTTTCCTTTTTAGGTAGCAGTTCCGGACATCATTGAAGCTACAAAAGATGCTGACATACTGGTCTTCGTTTTACCACATCAATTTATTCGGACACTTTGCGTTACGTTACTTGGACAAATCAAACCAACTGCTGTGGGTTTGTCGCTTATTAAGGTAGATCATAAGAGAAGATACATCACGAGATATAAGATAACAACACACGAATGTCTACATAAATTTCCCTTCAAGGGTTTTGATCAAGGAGACGGTACGAATGTCGAGCTAATTTCAAAAATCATCGAAAAGAATCTGAGGATCCAATGTCACGTATTGATGGGTGCTAATTTGGCAAACGAAGTTGCCGAGGAAAAATTCTGCGAAACTACCATTGGTAATTAATTATTTTCTATTATATCGTTAATTAATGACGATTCATTTGTATATGAATTCGTATTAATATATATATATATCATAAACTAGGTGAATTGTTTTCATCGAGACATCTAAATATTTCAAAAATAACGCAATTGTTAATAGAAAATTTGAAATGAAAATTGTTTTTGTTTTTGAGGAATAACATTAATTCGACGGCATCTTATTTTAAATCAGAAATTAAATGATGCTATAATATTGATCACTTGAAACTAAAATATTTGTATTTCTCATTTTTTTCTTTTCAATATACGTTATCTTCGAAATATTTAAATAATTCCATTTAAAAAAAAAAACACAAATTTATCTTTTCTGAAACTATTATAGAAAAATTTGAATCTCCAAATATAAGGGTATTTCAAAATATGTGGACATAACTTTAGGGGCAATTTTAATACGCTAAAATAAAAAAAAAAAATCATATTATCATATACTCGATATGACCTTTTACCAAATTATAGTTGTTTTTCGTAGTATACGCTATCAATGTAAATTATCACAAATATATATATATATATATATATATATATATATATATATATAAGCAAATTTTCACGTGTACTGTTATCATCAACGGAATATACTAAATTGATTAAAAATAACAGACAAGAAGGCCATATATAAGATAAGAAGCTTACTCATAAATAGTTGAAGCAAGCAGTCAGTAAAATTATATGAATAACTTACTAAAAAACAAAAACAGCCATAATTCGGTAATAGGATTATATCGAGTATATAATTATATACATTTTTGTTTCTTATTTTGGTATACGGAAACCACCTCTGAAGTCATGTTAACATATTTTGAAACACATCCTTTTGTATATATATTACGGTCAATATACAGGATTCTATAGAATGTCCACTAATGGTAAGATTGGACAATGTATATTTTGAACATATTTTTCATACATTGTCCGGTTAATCTCAAAAATATCCAGAAGGTTTTGTTATATGCTTCCATTAGCTATCTTTAAAGCACGGGAGGGGGAAAATGTTTCAAAGCTCGTGTAAAGAAAACAAACTATGGAAATTTTATAATTTGTTCACAATGTCCTTTAAAATCTATTCTATACAATGCCTGGATTTTAAACATTGACCGTAATATATATATATAATTACAATTTTTTATATACTTCGTATATATAAATTCTTATATGTATAAACTGTAATATATTTTTCATTCTTATATAATATCTATATAAACATTATATATAATAGGCTGCAGGGATAAACGTTTGGCACCAATATTGAGGGATCTCATACAAACGCCTAATTTTCGTGTAGTAGTCGTCGAGGATACGGAAGCTGTTGAAGTATGCGGAGCTCTCAAGGTGAGAAAGATTTTATTCTTTCTTTTTTTTTTTTATGACAATTCTATTTTTAATTTTTTTTCGTCATTATTATCATCACTATAGAACATAGTGGCATGTGCTGCTGGCTTCGTCGATGGCTTAGGATTAGGAGATAACACGAAAGCTGCCGTTATCAGATTGGGTCTTATGGAAATGATAAAATTTGTTGATACTTTTTACGGTGGTTCGAAACTGTCAACATTTTTCGAGAGCTGTGGTGTAGCTGATTTGATTACAACTTGTTATGGTGGAAGAAATCGTCGTATATGTGAACAGTTTGTTAAAACCGGAAAGGTAAAAAATAAAAATAACATTAAACAAAAAATATATATATATATATTATTATACATTTATTTTGTATGAATAACAGACTATCAGAGACTTGGAAGCGGAACTTCTTTCTGGACAAAAATTGCAAGGTCCAGCTACAGCTGATGAGGTCCATGCAATGTTAAAAGCTAAAAATATGCTAGACAAATTCCCATTATTCACTGCCGTACAACGTATATGCCACGAAGAAATCAGACCGGCTGATTTAATTGATCAAATTCGTAATCATCCTGAACATGTGTTAGTACATTCGTGATAGTTACGATTGAGCCGTTCGCAGGCCAAAGCGATTAATTTCGATCTTTCGATTTTTTTTACAATTTTATTATCAAAGCACATGATCAATATCTAACTTTTTATATTTAAAAGAAATTTCCTTAATAATAAGACTTAACACTACTAAATGAGAACAATGCTTATGGTTGTTCAATAATAATATGAATTAATCCCTCATATGAAAAAAAAGGAATATTTAAATTTGTATAATATAAACTCAAGAAACATGATTTTCCTGTAGGTTCACTCTAAGAAAATTATAATATTTTATAAAATATTTTCTTTGAAATACCAAAACATCGAAAATTTACTCACACTTTTCTAAAGCATGTTGCATGAAAGTATAATTGTTACATTGAGTCGATTCAACTTGTAATTCATAAAAGTTCTTTTTAGGCAGGTAAGTTTATTTTAAAGTTTTAATTTAATAAAATAACATCTAACATATTTTCTTTGTATCATTAAATGATTCTTGTCTCTTTCATGAATGTACACCTATTTATTACATTATAAAATCTGTTTAAATTATTTTCATCGAATCTAATATCGTTTAATGATTTTAGGATGAGAGTTGAGGGTGCTGTTTAGTAAAAATCATAAATGAAGTGCGCTCATGGAAATTCTTGGATCAAGAATTCAAATTTACGTGAATAAATGTAGAATACATTTAAAAGTTCGATAAAGGCTGTGTGATTAGATGAAGATCGTTAAATTACAGGAACATCCGATAAAACATATTGTAATTAACGTATTGTAAATAAAAATTTACTCGTTACTGTTGACAATAATGATTTTGAAAAAGAAGATCAAATTGATCTTTTTCCCTGTTTATTACCAACGCAGAGTATATATGCACTGCATAATTTTTTCACATTTAAACATTATAAATTGAATTATTGAAATTAAATCATTGAAATTATTCTAAAGTATTTTAGTAAATGAATAAAGTAAAAATAAAAAATATGTTTATTAGAATGTAGCTAAAACAGCTTGCTTTACTATATATAAATATACAACTATAATACAATCGTCATTTTTATCTATAATTTAGTAAATTATCCTATTATTGAACTTGCGTCAAAGATTACGATTTCTTAATATTTTCTCCGCAAACTGATTTTTTATTAAGTAACTTACTTTTACTATTATTTGAACTAGATACATTTTCGCACGTTGCATTGTCTAATAATTTTTCAGGTGTAATTCGAAGTGCTGAAATTATTAATAAATAAATTTATTTTTATCGTTAATGACAATGTTAATATAATTAATAATAATTTGAAAGAATTTTGCTCTTATAGTATTGTTCACATCTTACCATATACTCCAGGTTCCTTCTCGGTTGCTTGAATTACGCCAAATCGCAGTTCATGCTCAACTTCTTGTGCTAATTTATTTAACTGCAATAAGATTATTTATCATAGCAAAGTAAAAGAAAAATGTATGCTGTTTACTTTTGTTAATATATATATATTACCTCTTTTATAGTATCTTGATTCGTAATATCCTTATTTTTTCGGTACTCTTCATTTATTTTAGCTCTGATTACTAAACGATATGCACTAACGTATCAATTAAATTTTTTCAAATAACTGAATATTGTATTGTTTAAAAAAAAAAAAAGAACGAAACCAAAATTTTCTAAGAGTAAAAAGATTTGATTTATCAAAATGTTTTATACATATTTCTTATAAAATTACCTTTCAATGCATTTTCATCTCCTTTAAACGTATTTAATCTCGTTCTGTGTAATACTTTAAATTGATGCAATATCTAAACAAAAGAAAAAGGATTTAAATATTAAAAACCAAATAAACTTAACCTCAAAGACATCAATGGAATAAATCACGTAAACAATTGAATGACGTATATACTTCTCGTCGAAGAATTTCTGCCATATTTAAAAAACAAATTTTAATTTAACAATGAGATAACAATTAAACAATAGAAATTTCAATCATTTACAACAATGATTGTACGCAATAAATATTTAGCGGAAGATTTATTTAAAGAGCACTAACAGCATCTCGCATTTTGATTGGATATCTTAGCGCCAATCTCAGTACCGTATTAAGATATTTCATAGAACATGATTATTGTTGAATTTTCGAAATTAGATAAGAAAAACAATAATTAAACTTTTAGATTTAAATGGAAAACAAATTACTCCAAAATTATTAGAAAGAATATAAGAAAAAAGAAAAATAACAATGCTCGGAAAGGGATTATATAGATTAGCTAGTTAGCTGTAAATACCCCTCTACACAGACAGACACACACACATAAACACTCGTGTTCAAAATGGCGCTGACCCTGAGAAGAGAAGGAAGACCGAGCGGTTGAGCGAGTTTTTCATTATCGCCGTATTAACATGGACGGGAAAAGATAAAGACGAGCGACAAAATTCTACGGGTGATTTTGTCGATTTACGACAATGGAACAAGGCGAGAATTGGCAAGCAAGATCGGCGTAGGGATCGAAATATGTACGCTCGTAGACGCGCGTTCGTTAAATTGTGAGATAAGGAGTGAGAGAGATAGATCGAGTGAGTGAGAAAGAGAGGAGGAGGCAAAAAGAAAGAAGGAAAATAATCTCTCTCTTGGCGTTGTGTGAAGCGCGTCGTCGCGTCGTGTGTGTCGTGTTCCCGTCTCCTCTGCGCGTCGGTGGGTGCGTCCGTGTGTGCGTGCGTGCGTCTGCCTGTCTGTCTCTCTTCTTTCTTTCTGTCTGTGTGTGCGTGCGTGAGTGTGTGTAAGTCAAGATGGCGGCGACGTTAACCGTCGAACAAGAACAAGTAAGTGATTGTCAGTAGTTTAATCGCATCGTTGTACTGTCAATGAACGCGTAGAAATGATTAAAATCAACTATTGAATATTTTCATAAAGAAATCGTTGTCCGTTATCGATCATATTAATCTATTATTTTGCTTATGATATAAACGATCTAAAAGTACAAGAAATCGCAGCTAAATCTCTATTTTATTTCCTTTTAAACGTACATACATATACATTGTTGCTATTGTGTTTAAAATTTGGATAAACGTACTACGATTTTTGATCAGATATTTAATTGGAGTGATATTAAATGTTGAACATATTTGGCGGAAGCTATATAGCGGACGTGCACAACTGCTCTTCAGACGTACTTCGCGCCAATGAAAGCTTTTACACTATGCGCGCACTTACTCTCTTTCACGCTTTCTCATTTTATTATGAATCATGTTAGCTATTAAAAATGAGCGGTGTTTAAACATTCCACGCGTTTTCTACATTTTTCTTCATGAGTAACGAACACTATATTATTCGCCGGTAAACACATTTCTCTTTTATTTGATATTTAATTGAAATATTTACAAAATTATATATATATATATATATAGTGACAATAACAACGTCGTTAATAAAAAGAAGTCGATGACACTTCATAGAAATATAATCTTTGTTTGTTCATTCATTCGTTTGTTTATTGTTCGAAATGAACGTTCAGTGATTTGATATCAAATGTAAACTTATTTCGAACTTTGAATCGATGTTCCTTTCCTATTGGTCGAAAGTCAAATCGATTATTTTTTGGCGCCTAAAGAAAATTTATAAGAATATCAAGTTAAGGTATTGAATTTCTTGACCCTGACATCGACTCCGATGCCTTTAACCGGTTCTTAGCGAATGGGATGCCGGAAGTGGTGCTTGGTGGGGACGTAGCCGGACACCGGAAGCTATATCGGTATACAGGGCATGTGCACAAATTATGATGAAATGACCATGGGATGTTTGAAAATATTTAACCTCACGTATTGTCTTTCGATCGTGACTATCTTTTTGCTAGCCTTATAAATTACGTCATAACTTTTTTTCTCAGCACTCGTTTACACGTGTATTATTATTAGAAATATTTTTATTAAGAAATGTTTTATTCATTTTAATTATTTTTGCAGGCCACAAAAGAGTTTATAGAGGCTGTGAATAAGTGTCGTGCTGGAAGACGTGCTGGACCAGTTTCCTGGAGTACAGCAGTAAAATTTTTAGCAGCCAGGAAATTCGAAGTAAGCAGAGCTTTAGCACTTTATGAACAGCACGAAGCTACCAGAAGAAGAGAAGGTTTGGCTGTCTTACGTCCAACATTTGAACCATTACTCAGCGAGTTACGTACAGGAAAATTTACTGTTCTGGTGGGATTGATTATAATTCATTTATAATAATATAGTTATTATATATTATGCAGAATACAAATTATATATATTATTTATTGTATTATAGTCTTCAAGGGATGCAACCGGTGCTGCTATAGCAATCTTTACGGCACATCTACATCTTCCACAAAATACTACACATCAAACTACTTTACAGGTTAATAAATAATTCAAATAAATACTTGCTAGGATATTGAAAACACATAGATAATAATTTTAAATTATTTATAATAATGTTTCTTGCAATATTTACTTTTTCAGGGTGTTGTGTATCAATTAGATGCAGCTCTTGAAAGCGCAGAAACTCAAAAACATGGTTTGGTTTTTATTTATGACATGTCCGATAGCAAGTACCAAAATTTTGACTACGATCTATCGCAAAAAATTCTCACTCTACTAAAGGTAAGTTTTAAATACATCCTTATGAAATGAAAAACTAAGCAAGTCAATGTTACTACATAAAAATACGACACTATTAATGAAGCATGTATGATGACCGCTTATAAATGAAAACAATGTAATACCGATAAGCGCGGAGTGCTTAACCTTACACGACAATTATACAAATGCACATAAGACATATTTTATTCCGACACAAAAGATAAAATCCTTTATAAGTGCATACTTGATTTTCACAAAGTAGTACAGTATTATAAATGTATTTTGTTGTGAGTAGTAATTTACATAACAAATTAATTAAAAAGTATGTCTAACGTTCTTCCTCCTGTGTACTAATAGCATCTTTTATACCATACCTATTATATTTATTTTTCTTTTTTTTTTTTTTTTTTTTTCTTAATAAGCTGAGCATGTGTCTCCGGAATGTAAAAAGAAAAAAAGGAAAAAAGAAACAAAAATACCAAAAATATTTCCATTACAGAAAATCATAGTTACGGACGAAAGCGTCGATATCATTGATATATCTCTCTCTGGTCATTCAGAATTATATTATAATTATATTTCATTCGACGTTATCGTATTAAAAATTATGAAAACGTGTCGGTATTGTTGAAGAGAAGAATTCGTTATGTACTATTTGCACAAAAAAGAAAGAAAGAAAAAAAACAAAACAAAAGAAAAGATAAAAATTAAACATATCTCATTCACTTGAAAATTGTTTCACAGAAAATAAATACCGAAACCCGATATTTCTGGCTAGAAGGTATACGAACGTCTTCACCGAGCGGTTTCTCACGAGACACGCTCCACTGTGGTATACAGCTGCGTCTTCTGATCGATCGAATTTGCCATCAATAATAAACTCGTAAGACACGTCCGCACCTGTAGATTAATTTAAATAATTAGAACATCAGATTAGATTTTGTTGATAACTTTTTGAATGAAGAAATTAAAAAAAAAAAAAAAGAAAAACGAATAACACGCATATATATTCATATTCATATTTCTCTCTTTCTATATACAATATATATATATATATATATATATTAAACTAGTCGATATTATTTGTAGCCAATTCTCTCTCTATTTTTTCCAGGATATCGAAAAATGCCATATTATACATATATTTTATCTTACAATCGAGAGTAGAAAGTGCGTTGTTTTTATTTTTTCCTAGTGCAACCGCCTTTCGATTGCGCTTTTTTTTTCCCCGCCAATGCGAAATTTCGTTATATTTTACTTATCAATAAGCGCTGATGCAGGCAGTATATATATATATTTAGTCGCATATATTAGGAAAGTATATACGAAAATCGTTAAAAGCGCCTCGACACAACAACAGGGATCGTCTCGCGAGTTACAAGGGTGGTAGGTTCAAAGAGCAACGAAGCCAAAGGATGTTTATGCACTGCTGCTGCAAGTAAGCAGTAAGGGCTATAATTGCGCATCGAAGCGTGTTGCGTGAGATCACCAATAAGAGTTTTAAAGGTTTCAAAGTGTGACGAAGATAAAGACGATGACCATTTTTAACGACGAGGACGAGGACGAGGACGACTGTGACGGATTTGTTTTGAAAAAAGAAAAATGCGTCGATCGATTTGAAATTTATCTAACTTTTTGTATGATAATATAAATAAGAAGCTTGAAGAGGAAAGACATTTTGTATGTTCAATCGTTTAGAACAAAGTTAATTACGGTTGGTCTATCTTCATTCTATAAGATCATCATCGTTTTACGGTTCGTTCGATGAGGCGTTCAACGAGGAAGGTTACAGTGTCATAGTCGAGCGGAAGGAAACGCGTAAAACACCTCTAACGTTAAATCTAGAACGTGCTATCTTTCTTTTCACAACACTTTCCTCCCTGCATGTGTTGTGCTCTCGCTCTTTAGTCGATAATCTCATCTCGGCCTTCGGCTAAGAAAGGTTCAATTTTCCTTGCTAACGTAAACGTATTAAACGATGAAATGTGGTGAAGGGAAGGCCAGGAGTTCATTGTATTTCACCGCTTCGTTCTTATATGGAAACTTATAATGCATCCAAGGAGTATTCCCTTTTTTTTTTTTTTTTTTCGATATAGACAATTTTAGATATCATTTACACTTAAGAACACTTCCATATTAGCATATATAGTCTTATACACACGATTAAAAATGCTTCACACGCGTAGTCACGTTTATTATCACATTTTTCTTCAATCAATACTGATTTATAGAACACGACTAGAAATTTATTGATATTACTTTAAAAGTTACCCTATATAAATATATATACATGTGTATATAATGGAGGAACAAATTACAATACTATATGACAACCCTCTATGTCGTAGATTTCTGAGACTAATGTAAGGGAGAAACGAAATTCGCGTAGGAAAAGCGGTGGTAGAAAGTCAAATGTATTGAAAAGAAAGAGAGAGAGAGAGAGAGAAAAGTGGGGAAAGAGAAAAAGAAGGAAAGAAATGCATATAATGATTCAAGAAAGAAAAGAGACGGATTACGAGCGTCACAGGGTTGTTGGGAGGGGATGAGAAAATGGGAGAGTGGGAGAGAGAGAGAAAAGGCTCACAACGCGCATGCGTCATTACACGGGGACAACGTCGCGACGCTCGCGGTCAGTAATCATCGTGACCCCTTTGCGGCACTATCGTATCAAGATTAAAAGGGATTTAACCCGATTGATCCTTTTCTGTCTCTTTTTCTTTCTTTCTCTCTCTTTCCCTTTCTCTTTTCCTTATCTTTTCTTCTTCACCCTCTTATTATTATTTTTCTTTATTTTCCTCATTTATTTTTGCAAACCAAAAAAAAAAAAATCAAGCAAAAAAGTGGCCAGTCCATTTCCACGTTCCTTTAGTACAAATATACAAATATACATTTTCCTTTAGTCCGACCTCGTTTCCCTTGCTGCATTCCGCTTTCCCCGACGTCTCTCTTTCGCTTTCCCCTTTTCGAGCCCTTGTCAAGCGGCACGTTATACTTATCTCGTCTTATCGATTGACCGACCACCGACCAGTGATTTTAAATACGGAACTTGTGTAGTTATTGTCACATTGTATACTTTTTTATTTTTCTCTTTTTCTCTCTTTCTATTTAATCATTTCTTTCGTGCTGTTAATCATCTTTTATTTTCTCTCTCTCTCTCTCTTTTTGTCTTTCGCTTTGATAAAAAATCTACGTACGTGATTTTGTTTTGTAATTTTCAAAAAGAAGAAAAAATAGAAAAGAAAATTAAATTAATTTTTTTTTTTTATTATTATTTTTGTGTGTTTTTTTTTTCTTTCTATCTTTTCCTTGCATCGTAAATTTCTTTTATAGCTCGAGGTTTTGAGTGTCGTTTTACCAAGTGTCGTCTTACTTTAGGCGAAGTGGATTAATTAAGCGCGCGCGTTATCGATTCCTCTAGCGGGGGTATTACTCCGACAAATTACCGGCAATTTCAATCCCGGGAAAGATCTTGAGCTATTACGATGTTAAACAATTCTTTTGAAATATGCATCAATTTTTTATTCATCACGGATTAAACATTTATTTGTGATTTCGAAAGTTATATTATTAGGAAGATATAAATTATACGAGTTCTCAAATTTCGAATTTGCAAAGTGTGAACAGTGGTGGTAGGTAGTGGGGGGTGGTGGTATAGTAGAAGTGGTGGTTGGTGGTGAGGTGGTAATGGTGGGGTAGTGGTGGTATTGGTGGTGGGGTAGTAGTGCTGCTGACGTCGTGCGGTACTTCCGCCATCTGGTTTCAACGTAAAGGGTCGGCGGAGGTAACTTCTCCGAGTACATTTTTTTTTTTTTAATTATACAAATGATTCCACATCGAAGGTTTTTTGCAATCATTTAGGAGCTGCTCGTTTATATTAGAAATGAATATTCTTTCTTTCCATTTCCCTTCTTGTTTTATGTTAATATCGATAATGACTTTGCAAACTGCTGATTTATTGCTATGTCTCAAACGATGCGAAGAAATTTATAGGCGCGTGTTCTAAATTTCTTTTGTTTTGTTTTGTTTTGTTTTACTTTTAATCTTTTCTTTTTCTTTTTTTTTTTATTTACCTCTTTTTACTAGAATAACTTTTTATAGGTTTGTAAACTCGTCGTACGATTTTTGTTTTTTTTACGCAGATAATCTAAAATTATAATCGACCTGTAAGCTTTTCGTATGATCACTTTTCTTCCGCCGAGTTCCGCCGTCATCGTTTTCTTNTTTTTTTTTTTTTTTTTTTTTTTTAAATAATTCCAAGATCTTCCGTTTCTCTTGGCTTTGAATTCTCAGAGTTTTTTTTTTCTTTTTTTTACGCAGATAATCTAAAATTATAATCGACCTGTAAGCTTTTCGTATGATCACTTTTCTTCCGCCGAGTTCCGCCGTCATCGTTTTCTTATTATACATACATATATATCGGAAAAGATTTGTTCGTGTTAAATATGTAGTTCGAGTATCATTTACAGCTGGCACTGCATGCACCAAGTGTATACATTTGTTCTATTATTGCGATGTCTTTTGAAGGTCACGAGCGAGGCGCTTAAAAAAAAAAAAAAAATGATTTATGCATTGACGCGGTTAATAATTGAAATTCTTTTCATTTTCTTCACTTTAGCCCTCGAAACTCGTATCGTATGTTAAAGAAAGAGTATAGAGCTAAAGAAGGCAACAACAACAACAACAACAAAAAAATAAAATAAATGATATCGATCGTTTGGCTTGATTGACCTGGCCGCTTCCGTTCCATTTTGCTTCTTCTTCTTCTTCTTCTTCTTTTTTTTCTATAGCGTTATATCTTTTTCTTTTTTTGTTTGCATTAATAACACATGTAGCGCCAAAATCACGTACGTTTTTAAAGCATTACTTTATTTCTTATTACCGATCGAATTTCTTTCATTTAAATGGTTATTGTTATAGGGAGGATACCCAGCCAAACTTAAGAAGGTTTTAATCGTAACGGCACCGCTTTGGTTCAAAGCACCGTTCAAAATCCTTCGTTTGTTTGTACGTGAAAAATTGCGGGATCGAGTATTTACTGTATCCATTCCTCAATTGACGTTGCATATACCACGAGAATCATTGCCACATCGGTTAGGAGGCACCTTGGAGATACAGCATGAGGCATGGCTATTACATTGTCTTAAATCCATGACAAACCGAGGCGGGGGTGAACTCTGTGAGGTCTGCGTAAGAAACGCTTCATATTATTCCATTTTTTTTGTTTTTTTTTTTTTTTTAATCGTAGCGTTGTTTTATTTTAAATTACATTTTGTTTTTGTTTTTTTTTTTTTTTAATCACACAGGTTACTCCCAGAGTGGGAACCCCACTTTCACCTACGTTAAAGAATCATACGGTTCATCAGAATCCCAATGGAACACCGATTAGTAATCCAACTAGTCCTATAACCGATAAGAATAAGATAAAGAATGGTGTTTCTAACATTGGGGATATTGAAATTACTAATGGTGATGTGTGGATGGCAAACGACGAAGCACCATCTCCAGTACAACCTCCGTCCTCAGCAAGTTCTGGTTTTAGCGACGATGATAGCCTTCACGGCGATCTTGGACTGCAAGCAGTTACTATGGAACAACTTATTGAAGAAATACATTCGAGAGGTCGTGCTGGTCTCGTAGCAGAATATGTAGAAATTAGACAAAGGCCACCCGACGGTTCCTTTAATATTGCAAAGTACGTGTCATTATAAATATTTTCTTTTATAATATTGTTAATGATTATTTCGATTATGTATATCACATTTTCAGATTAAGGCCAAATCAATCAAAAAATCGTTACACGGATGTACTTTGTTACGATCATAGTAGAGTGTGTCTTTCTCAAGTTGACGGCGATGCAACGTCGGATTATATTAATGCTAACTTTGTTGATGGTTACAAGCAAAAAAACGCGTTTATTAGTACTCAAGGACCTCTTCCAAAGACATGTGGAGATTTTTGGAGAATGATATGGGAACAGCAAACTCTTGTTATTGTGATGACTACAAGGTCAATTCTTTTTCTTTATAACTTTTTGAATATTTTATATTAATAAAATTGTTGTATTTAAAATGTATAAAAATGATATTTTTAAATATTTAGAGTAGTAGAACGGGGGCGTACAAAGTGTGCACAGTATTGGGGTCCAGAGCCAGGTGATGAAGTACAAGCAGGTGGCTTCACCGTAACAACTTTAGAAGTCGATATAAACCCAGACTATACGATATCTATGCTCCTTCTTACAAACAACAAGGTATATAACGACATATAATGACTATTCATAAATTATTATATATATATACAATTGTTTCATTTTATAATTCAGACTGATGAGACAAGAGAGGTATGTCATATGCTTTACACAGCATGGCCGGATTATGGCGTTCCTCAATCAGCTAGAGCTTTATTACAATTCCTATCCCTAGTAAGACAGCAACAGAATAAATTATTAGCAAGTAGGGGTGATACCTGGGCGGGACATCCACGAGGTCCACCTATAGTAGTACACTGTAGTGCTGGTATTGGCAGAACAGGTATTTAATATTTGTTGATTTTTATTATTAGTAAATGTCCTTAAAAAAAAGAAAAAAAAATATCTATAAAATTGGTCTTATTTCATTCAGGAACATTTTGCACCTTGGATATCTGCATATCTCGATTAGAAGACACGGGAACTGTTGACATTCGTGGAACGGTAGAAAAAATTCGAGCACAAAGAGCCTACAGTATTCAAATGCCAGATCAGTATGTCTTTTGTCATCGTGCTCTAGCAGAATATGCACTTTCTAGGGGCATGTTAAGTCCTCAACATCTTGCTATGTTACCTCCAACGGTCGAAGAAGATTCCGATTAAGATACACATGTGTAATCTGATAGGCAAGAAAAGTAGGCTGATAATATTTCTGAATATGCGTAATCGGCTCTGTTCTGTCTCAATAGTTTACTTCTAGCATAAATGACTAAAATTTATTTTTTTCTATCATTGCCATTCAATGTGTAACCCTTAAGATTTTTAGTGTTTATATATATATATTAGCCTAATATTCAGGATATTCTGAATACAAACTAGTTTGTCAAAAGAAGGCCAAATCAGTAAGTAGGGATTGTATATTTCTGTTCCATTTGATTTTTTTTTTTTTCGCGAATTTTTGATTGAGGTAGCGTGACGTACTAATAAAGAGGGCACACAGGTGTGAACAAAAAAACAAATAAGTAACGAATAACACGAATGTGAGAATAATACAGTTTTGGATTCTATCTTTTGATCAATGTGAAAAATTAGAAGAATTAGAAGAATATTTTTTTTCCCCTTTTTTTTTGTCAAAATTCCGCTGGTAAAATATTCTATCTAAAGGTTATCGGAAATAAAACTTTCTAAAAAGTAACACAAGAAAATTCTTATGAAATCGTTACTATATGCATTGATAAAGAGAAAATGATTGATATAAGTAGAGCGCAGAAATAAGATGTTAAGAATAATAATTTGTTTAGCTGATCGAAATGTTATTAACTGGGTCATTTTGTCAGTGGCCAATGATTAGTCGCAATTTACGTAAGATCTAGAAAAAGGACGTTATGATGTATAAAATGGTTTCTTATACCATTGAAGAAATAAGTGTAATCAAGGATACATCGATAGTCACTTTTGGGCAACCAAAGATTATATCCCTTATACCAGTTTAGAAAATTGGGGTTTGATATGTATAAAATTTGATTAATATTTTGTGAGAGAGTAATCCTTTTATACAGGGATTATTAATCAGGGATCACACACCTTTGTAGACTAAATACTTCCATTTTGATTAAAAATGAAATGGGGCCTAGATTGGCCTTACGAATATAAGCCTTTAAAAATAAGTTAAATAAGCTTCCAGCTTGTTTTAAAGTCACAGATGCGCTTCGGTACAATTGAATAATGGAAGAAAATAAAAGAAAAGAAAATTTGTGCGATATTCGAGTTAAAAGAGTTTTAAAATGTATAGGGTCTTTGATATTTCAATTAAAAGTGATATAATTAATTAGAATCATCTTAAAGATTCAATATGCTCCACTAACACACAAGCCTTGATACATATATAAAATGATGGCGAATAAATGTGTCTACATACAATACGTATCTATATATACATATATATAAGTATAAGTATAAGTATATGTATATATATATAGATATATATATAGTATGGGGGATATGGTATCCACGTGATTCCATACTTTAGAAAGAAGCGTATATTATTTATGCATAGTATAACTTTGAAAATATCACGTTTGCATATATACGTTCGTTCACCATTCCTCGTGATAAAAAGATTACAAATAAATATTTGTTTTAATGTTTTTTATAAGGATATCTATGAAGAGAGGTAAAAAAAAAAAAAAAAGAAAGGTAATGAAAAGAAATAATGTCTCATTCAAATGCTTCGTTAATTTCAATGTTATGAAGAACGAAGTTTGAAAGATCGTATTATCTAAACTATTTATTATATATTATTGTTTTAATTGTAAAATTCGAGATATGAATAATGAATTTATAATAAGACTGTTTAAGTTATTTATATCAGATAGTCACTATTTAGAGATCAAAGTTTCATAAGTTTTAATATTTATAATGTTCTCTTGAAAATGCACACACAGCGCAAATATCAAAAAAGAAAAAGAAAAAATAATAAAAATAATAAAAAAAAATAAAATAAATAAATAAATAAATAAAGAGAAGAAATGTTGATTCGTAAAACGTATTTATTTCAACGTTTGTCGACGTAAGCTGGATAGATACATTTTATCGGGATTATAATCTCTCACGTATATAAAAAAAAAAAAAAAAAAAAAAACGTACTACGGCAGAAACGTACTATTAGATATTTACAAAAATGATAAAAATAATGGGATAATGATATTTTTATGGTATACATCGTAATGTGTATAACGACGACAAGTATTAGAAATGAAAAGAGGAAGAATATACATTAAAAAAAAAATTGGAATTTATTTAAAATCAATGTTTCGTACAATTAAAAAAAAAAAAAACAATGGCGAAGCGTGTATAAAAATTACACAGCATAGATATTTCCATATATGCCGAGAAAAAAAAAAAAAAAGGAATGTAACTTGTATTTCTCTCCGTCTAAAATTCTATGCTTCCACCACCTTACCTCTCCCTCTCTTTTCTTTTCTTTTTAATATACAAACACACACATACACCACACGTATATATATATGAACTAATTTGATCCTATAAAACCATCATCTTTGGTCGGCTTTCGCCTTAGATTTCCTCTTATATTATACGGTTATTGCATACGTCACGAATAAAAATCTATGCCATTATTTTTTCCAATATTTTCCAAATGCAGAGCGTGTTAACAAAAAAAAAAAAAAAAAGAAAAAAGAAAAGAAAGGAAATGTTATAAATGAATAAAAAAAAAAAAAATTAATAAGAAAATGATGCTCGTAAGCATTTTTACGCTTTCATATATTTACCAGGTGTAGTGTTTATCTAATAACGCAGCGTCTAACATTTTATTTTGGTAATAAAAAAAAATGAAAAAAAAAAAAGAAAAGAAAAGAAAAGAAACAAGTTTACCGATCGTGAAATGAAACAACGTTGTTAGAAATATTTGCGAATTTTATACATTAAATACATGCTGTGTATCGGTCGTGAACATTTAGTCAAATAAGTTTAGAACGGTTTTTGATATTTAACGTACGTTCCTCCCACCCTTCGTGGGGTATAATCTAAAAAGAAGAAAAGTATCTTATTGATGCGTACACGTTCATTATAATTATTATCATTTCATACATGGAGGAAAGAAATATGCGTCTACCAAAACCTTATCCTTATTATTTTTATTATTATTTTTATTATTACTAATATTATTAATTATATTACATATATTATTAATATTATTATTATTATTATTATTACTATCATTAGAATCATCATTATTTGTTTCTATTATATATCTATTTATTGCAAGTTATCTTACGATGTATATACGCACATATATCGGAGTTTTAAAGAAAAGATTGAGTTTATATCGCGATACATTCTCGATGTTTAAAACATTGAACAAGCTTTTTGTAAAATGTCGTTAACAGAACGATTTCAAAAGTCTGATGTGATATCTGATTTGGCACAGTCATCGTTTTTTTTTTTTTTTTTTTTAAATTAATTAAGAACGTTTTCAGTTATTAAGAAGTAATCATTGCTACACATATTTACGTACATGTACGTATCGTTTTATCTCTTCGTATATTTACAAATAATATTTCAATCGATGGAAATAAATCTGTACGTAAAATAAATGTTATCGGAACGTTTATCAATGTCCTTATGTATTATTATAATACATAAGGACGAGTAGAGAATGTATGCGTTTCTATTTATTCTCTTTCTCTACTTTCTTCTATCTATCTATCTCTGTCTCTGTCTCTTTCTCTTTCTCTCTTTCCTTCTATCTCTATCTTTTCATGAACGACGTTAAAAGTCGTATAGAATAAAATTTTTACACATATACATACTCATACAGAAAACAGTATTATGTTAAATATTGTTTATGAACATTTTCTAAATTATTAATTAGATCTTTTTTTTCGTTTTCAAATAATACATATGTTCTCATTTCGGCTATTAAAATAATTAAGTTAAGTCTATTATTATAGTCACCGTATATTACGATATATACAGTACATACACATATATATATATATATAGATATATCTAAAAGTATTCATTTCTTGACGTTAAAAATTAGATTTGTATAGCATTTTACAATGGGTTATAGTGATATATTATATATATATATATGCACACGTAGAAATCTTAACATCGAGATTTTGAGAATGAATCGCATCGAGATCCGAAAAAAATATTCGATATTAGACGAATACTTTGAAAATGTGCGTCAGAAGGAAGTATACCATTTTATCGAATACGTTTGATTAATTTTTTTCAATGTAGAATTTGATATCCGAGAATAAGAATGGTTACCAAACAAAACAAAAAAATAAAATTGCAAAAGTACTGAAAATATTAGATGAAGAAAAAGAAATGAAATGATAGCAAATAGAAAGAAAGAAAGAAAGAAAGAAAAAGAAAAATTGTAAATACGATGACTTAATTTATCATCGCAAACGATTGTATTTAAAAAAAAAAAAAAAAAAGAAAAAAAAATTAACGATTATTTAATATATATATATATATATATTACAGATATATAAATGGTAAATGAAAGGAAAAATAATTGTCTTACAATTAGTTTTCTTTGCTTATATGAAGATTATTTATCCTTCGAGTATTATGATTATTTATTTCCACGTACGTATCTATAACGATATATATCATCATCGATTCGTTTGAATAGAAGATAATAAATAAAGCGACGTGTAGTATATTTATCAAATATTTCTCTTAAATTTCAATTAAAAACGGCAAAGCAAAGATAAATTGTATTGATGCAATTGACAAATTAGAATCTTTAGTGAAAAATTTGAATTTTGCAAGTAGTAGTATCTTTGTATTGTGAAATATACTCTATCAAAAATGAATCGTAATAATTTTGTATATCTACATTTTTATTTGTTTACTTTTATTACGTGTAGAAATTAATTCGGTGACTACTTTTTAAAATAAATATTTGACTTTTGCCATATTGAATATTAATAAGTTTTTGTTTTGACTAATTTTTAAATAATTCATAATTATAAGTATTAGTACTTAAATGTTATAAAATGGCAGGTGATTTTTTTTTTTTTTTACATTTAAACTAGAATTATAAATAATTTAATATCAAGGCATCGAATTTATTTCTTAGCAAAAATTAGATAACTTATTATTTTATTTAATTTACACCAAAAGAAAGAGAAAGACAGAGAGAGAGAGAGAGAATTGATAGAATGTCATATCACTATCACGTATTGCTATCGGACTTATGTTAAATTAATTATTATAAAATTTCCTTTACCTTTGGCGATTGAATTCAATTGAATTTTCCCGCTAATTTCTTAATTGACTAATATTACTACTCCCGTTCGTAAATCTCTTAATTCTAGTAGATAAAAGTGAATGCAAATTTTTAGAAATAAATGTTAAACCTGGAAAATAAACAAATAATAAAACAAGAAAATAAATATAAAATTAAAAAAATAGGAAAGGATTAAAACGATCAACTCATTCATATTCTCTCTCACAATTAAATAAATAGGTTTAAAATATCAAGAAATGAATTAACAGAGAAAGAAGGAGAAGAGGGGGGGGGGTACGATCTAAGTAAATCATCTGTAGTAATATTATTTTGCCATTAAGTTTGGGAAATAAATAGAAAATATTATTATTGTTCAGTCGATGTCATTCTTTCGTTTTGATAGAAGGCATGGTTTGTTATACGCATGCGTGACAATTCTCTCAATAATAGAAAGCGGGTATGTTAAACTCTTTTGCTATAATACACGTTATGTAGAGGTTAAAGTAGTGCAAAGTTTATTAATTAAATATATTCTTGAATATTGAAGACAATTTAACATTTCTATTATTATAAATATATTATAGTACAGTTTATAATTATATTTCTATGTTGTGTATTTTACTTTTATGCGTACCTACACAACGGTGACATATGTTTTAATTTTATATTAAACCGCCTGCGCAAAACATCTTGCGCACAAGAGACAAAGTATTTACCACTGTCTCATTTCATTTGTGGACGTTTCTCTTATAAGCCACTGGTAATATATTAGGCTGTCTGGAAAGTTCATGACGATTTATAAATATACATATATATTCGATATATATTTTTATATATAAAAATTTTTAATTTATTCAAAATAAAAGTAAAAAAAAAATATATATATATATATATAAAAGTGTTGTTTTTTAGAAATATATTTACAATTGGCATGAACTTTTGGTCAAGTTAATAGTACTACCTATATACATATATAATATATAAAATAAACTTACTAGTTCTCTCTCTCTCTCTCTCTCTCTCTCTCTTTGTCTATCTATCTCTCTCTGTTGCACTGAGATTAATGGCGCACAGGCGCACAGCGCATTCTGACGGTGCGCCGTGGTACGAGAACGGCGCATCAATGGGCAGCCAGAGGGTAAGATGGCGGATCGTGATTCGGAGGTGCAGGAGGAGGAAGAAGAAGTGCGACAGCGGCAGAAGCAGGAGCTGCGTCAAACAAGATCTGAGGTGAAGGAGGACGGTATTCGCGGAATGAACGCGAGCGTCCATCCTATAAACGATACGACGAGTGTGATGACCACGACGATAATGGCGTCGACAACGAGTACGAACACGGCGATGGCAACAACGACTACGACAACTACGACAACGGTGAATACGGTGATCAACAATGGTCGAGTGCCTCAACATAATCTTGTCAATCAACAACAACAACAACAACAACAACAAATGAATAATCCAAATGTTGGACAAGGACCTAGATGCGTTACCATCTACAAAACGGAGACTGGTTTTGGGTTCAATGTTCGAGGTCAGGTCAGCGAGGGTGGACAATTGAGAAGTATCAACGGTGAACTTTATGCACCCTTGCAACACGTCAGTGCCGTTTTACCTCGAGGAGCTGCAGAAAAGGCCGGTGTTCGCAAGGGTGATCGAATACTCGAGGTGTAAGTACTTTATTCCTATATATTATTTCATTTAATTCTGCTGTCTCTCTCCTCTCTCTTTCTCTCCTCTCTCTGTCTCTCTCTCCCTTTCTTTTTTCTCTCTCTTTACATTTATTTAAAAAATTGAATACATTAAAATCTATTCAAATCTTATAAAATATGTACATTAAAAGTCTCATGAAAAATTAAAGATGACGATTACATTGTACTTTCGAATAGTAATTAATTATACATTTCTTAAGAGACTTTACAAAAGAATTTTAAGTACGATCGAACGAAACTGTCTTGTTTATGCCTTTCTCTCTCTTTCTTTTGACGTTTGTTCTCGTTTGCGGAACTTAACGATCGGCCGACGACGAACGACGTGAAACTTTAGCCCAAAATGGCCCATTGCAAGAGAATAAGAGTGAAAGAGAGAAAGAAGAGACATATACATAATAGATAGACAGAGAGAGAGAGAGAGAGAGAGAGAGAGAGAGAGAGAGAGAGAGAGAGAGTGAGTGAGAGGGAGAGAGAGGGGGCTGGACAGAAAACTTTGATTCTTTGTGGAACAAGATATAGAGAAGTTTCTTCGAAAGAGAAAGAGAGATAGAGATAGAGATAGAGATAGAGTAGTGATCGAAAACGGGTTGAAGGAGTCGTCCCTGGTACTTTCAAGCCGGTGTTCAATCGTCTTTCTCTTCGATGTCCCTCTCGGAAATTGATCTTTCTTTGTCGCGTTATTTTATCTCCTATACCTTTATTTTCTCAATCTTTTCATAGCACTTTCTTCGTCACTTCGAAGTTCTTTGTTTTTTTCGTCTTTATCTCTCTAGCCCACCAATGAATGAAATAAGACTTTTATGAACGATTCGTTTCTAATTTGGCGAAGTAAAAGAAAAAAAAAAACGCGGTTTCATGACATCAAAGAAAGACAATTTCTTGTTGGTGTGTGTTCTCAACATTCTTATCAATTGATATTAGTTTTCTTGACTTGGCCGGAAGCCAAGAAAGTGTGACCGTGAAGTTTTTTCGGCGTTTATTTGGACTGTCGTTCGTTCTTGCTTATAATGGTATTGTGTTATTATATAATGTCTAAATGTTATTAGATGCGTTATATGTTATATAATCGTCCATAAGACATAAGAAAAAGTAAGGTGGACGAAATTATGATATAAAATTTGTAATATATTTTTCACATTTGTTGCTTCTATCAAAAATTATATCAAATATATATATATATATATATTTAAAAAGATAATAATATTACAAATGATTAAATTTGTATCGATAAAAATGGCGACGACCATTTGAACGTGATTTGCCGCCATAAATATATAAGCGCCAAAATTGTACATTTGGCGATATTTTCGTTTTCTTGTCTTTTTTATTCTTTTATTTTATTTTTTTCTTAAAGCATATAACGGTATTTATTTTACATTGGTTCATTTTAATGTTTCATTGACAAATTTTTTAACAAACACGACTGTTAACCGAGTGTAAACCGAGAATCTCCTCCCACCGTTAGGAGAGTTAAGCTGTATCAATTTTGTATCGAATATCGTTGACGAACGGCCCATAATAGGCGGAACTTTGTGTCAACCTTTACTTTTCTATTCTTCTTTTTAATTTACAATTAATATTTTGTTTCTCTTTTATCGCACACACACAAATTTTATAATCTTTCCCATTAATGATTATCTATCAAAATTAAGACTCCCATTATTCGAAAATTACAAATTCATTAGCTTTGATTTTTGATTGAAATTCAAATATATTCTTTAAAGTCTATAATTTAAACAAATAAATTCATCCTTGTATAATAATACAAATCTATAATACATATTCTCATATATATGTTATATTATTTTTTTCTATTAACAAAATGATATACAGATATGTTAACATTTTACTCTTTCTAAATTCTATAAAAAAAAAAAAAAAACATTCTAATGATTGTATATTTATAATGATAACATTTGATATTTAACATGCATACACACACATATATATATTACATATACATATTTCCGACGAAATCATTTCGAAATCTAATTCTCTGGTGAAAATAAAGAACACTTTAATAATACGGAAATACACATCGGCCGATTAACGTTGTCATTAAATGTATATACAAACAATTTGACCTCTCTTATGAAAATGTTTTTATTATCGATAATTCGAAAGAAATGACTTGTGAAATAAGATCGAATGTTTACAAAATGTTTAGTATCGTTCGAACGATGATCAAGACAACACCTGTCGCGATTTTTCGATTATTAGGCAGACAATTTTATTAAGTTTTTTTATACTAATTTTATCAAAGTAAGTGGATACGTTATATACTAATGAAATATATTACACGTATACATAATTATCTCATTAACACTAGAACTACCACACCAGTCGTATTGACTAATTGGTCTTTGATTTGATTTGGTATAAAGAATATTTTGATACGAAATATTCTTCATTATTATCTCAGAATATGGAATTCCTTTTGTAAAATAATAATAAGTCAATAAATATAAAAATATTCTACTTTTACATCTTTTTAAAGACCAGTTATTTTGACTGGTTTTGGTAGAGACAGTTACGTCTCAACTATTGGTAGTATCAATGTTAATAATATAATTTATGCATATTCAAATGCACAGATTATTTTTAATATTATTTCGAATTTTATAATAACAAAAAGGTTTATCTTAAAATTTCATATATATATATATATAATGAATCATAATGTATAATATAATTTATCGCGTTGAAGTTTATAATTCAGGTAATATTCATCAAGTAACTAGATAAAATATGAATTCAAGAGAAACGAATAACTAAAGTATGAGATTTAAATGTGATTTGTTTTTAAAGTCTACAACTTTCCTTTTACAACAATAATACTCATAGTTATCCGTTCTCATTTCTCCCTGTAATTTGAAAATCAATATTCTGTTAGTAGAGTCGTGCTATTCTATCAGATTTAATTTGGATCGGTACTATTAACTATAAAGCTTAACTACTTGTTTCGATATATGAAAGTTTTTCTCTTATATGTACGACCTCGAACAAATAGTATCAAAAAGAACGCGTTAAAAAAAAATCTACATATCGACTAATCGATCCTAACGACACGAACAATCAAAGGGAATTTTACGATCCGTTCTATGCAGGCGAGGGGTTAACAGACTTCATCATCCTGTTCGTTGATCTTATCTCTCTCTCTCTCTCTCTCTCTCTCTTTCATCTCTCTTGTCTCTCTTGTCGTCGTTTCAACGACTTTTATCCCCTTTAATCTTTTTCGTTCCTCCTCGAGTTTGTATTCAACGATATCACGATTTCTCGCTTTGTTGGTATTACAAAATAACATTGTAAATTTATTTTTTTTTTTTTTTCTATCGCAACAATTCATAAATATATTATACTATCCTGTACTATTTGTAATATATTTCATTTGATTTGAATTGAATTAGAAAACTATCAAAGGAAAATAATGTTTCATTTAAATGACAATTTTGATTGATACGAAATTTGGTTCATGGTCGTACTTTCAAAAGTTCGAGGTCAAGAGGGGATCCTTTTTCTTTATGACGATTTAATACACATATTTTAATTACAGTTTATCAAAATACAAATATAACGATATACAAATTTAACAAGACAAACGTATTTAAAGTTTTTCATTTTAATATTAAATATAATTAACACTTAGTTGACCGGTCCCGAGTTAACTCGTGTTTCTGTGGCTGAACGTTACTGACCGGTCACGAGTTAACTCGTGATGGTATCAATTCTTATTGATATGATAGATGGGATAAATTCTTTAAAAAAAAAAAAAGCCGATCAACAAAGTGTTAATTAATCGTGAATAATAGAAGAAAACAAAATATGTGAGAAATTTTTAGACATACGATGAATGAATAAATATTACAAAATAAAATTAAAAAAAAAAAAAGAAACCGATAATACATACAAACTTTGAATGATTCATTAATATTTAAATGTATGTAATACAGAATGAACCAAAAGTCTTTAAACTGTAGAAGGAACAATTTTTTAAATGATTATAAACAACAAAAAATATCAATTACTCTTTTAACGTTACATATATATATATAATGTCAATTATGTCAAACTATATACAGTAATTTTACAAACTGTATATTGTAATTGTATATAATATGCAAAAAAGACAAAAAAATATCAGTTACTCTTTTAACGTTATATATATATATATATATATATATATATAATATCAATTATGTCAAACTATATACAGTAATTTTACAAACTGTATTAAATATGCAAATAAAAATTGTGTATAAAATAGAAAAATAGAAAAATAAAAAATTTCTATAAAATATGCAAAAAAGACAAATTTAGATGAAATAGTCAAGATGATGATTTGTTTGAACAAAAAATCGTTGAAGCATTTGTTCAGCTCGCTTACTTTTTGGTGTGTGCTCTATTATTTAAATAATAATGATAATAATAATTTAAACGGGGGAAAGGGAGTGTAGGAGTAAAAGGAAACTTTAGAAGTATAATTATCGAAGGAAGGCTCGTCTAACATAAGATCGATCCATGTCTCGTGTATATTATTCGACGTTGGACTAAGTCACGCGCTTAGTTACCGTTACCCCTCTTTAAATCCAGTTCAAACTCTCGATAGGCTTCCATGTTTGCAACTTGTTAACTGGACAAATTTTGACGATCAATTTATCCTCACACGCAAGGAAATAAAGATTTAAGAAAGAACAATTTTTTAAATTAATGACACCTTTTTAAGATTCAAACTGATCGATTTAATGCAATTCTTCTAATGTTGATGATACTACGCTAGTTTTTAAGCACTAATCATGAATGATAAAGATATTCTCACGTTAATGAACAATTGAATGCTTTTTTTTTTTTTTTTTTTTTAATAAATTTAACAAGGAACTTTTTTTTGTATTTCTATATTATATAGATGTAAAAATGCCATTGTACTATGATTTTTTTTCTTTTCTTTAGAAATGCAACTG